CTCAGGGATGTTTTAAAGGCATGGGTGTGTATCTTTAGTTTGCTAGGGCCGCACATGCCTATAATTCCAACACTGCAGAGCCTGAGAGTAGAAGATTGAAGCAAATTAAGGTCTCCCTCGATCATAAAACACATGGGGAGATCAGGTCTCAAAACAAAACAAAGCCACATAGTGAAACCTGTATGTGTGCCCATCTGTCCGTCTGTCCATCTGTCTCAAGCTCTAACGTCAGTGAGTTTTTGTATCAATTAATGACTTGTCTGATCTTGCTGAAACTGGGGGATAAAATAGAAGGGGGGGGATTGGAGAGAAAAGTTTATATTAAGAAATGTTTAAAGCCAGCTTTAATCCCAGCATTCGGGAGGTAGAGGTAGGTGGGTCCCTGTGAGTTCGAGGCCAGCCTGGTTTGCAAATTGAGTTCCAGAATACCCAGGGCTACAAAGAGAAATCCTGTCTCAAAAGCCCAAAAATTAAATAAAGAGAACTGTTTGGATTTATCATGTTGAGATGACAGCCACTGCCTCCAGGCTGTGTCATGATTACAGGGAGCCAGCTCTGTCCCAGCACAGGAGGGACCTGTCATCAGTAGGCTTCGATAATGGGTTTCAGTTCATCAGATGTTTTCCTAAAAAATAGCATTGGGGCTAAAGGTGTGTACCACTGTGTACCACCACCCCACAACCCCACCCCCTTACCTTCATCCCCTGAAACCTAGCAGGAAGGAAGATTCTTAACATCCACAATGTTTAACATCCGTGATGTTTAATGTTCATGATGTTTAGCATTCATGATATCTAATCATGATGGGCTCTGGAACCAACCAAGACATGCACTTCTGGGCAGGTCCATGAGAGCATTCCCAGAAAGGGTTATCTGAGAGCAGAAGACCCTCAGAATGAGTGATACCCTCTGAGGGAGCCCCTATATAAAAAAGAAGTCAGAAAAAAGTAGTGTTGCTCCCTGCCCACCCACCAACCTGAATTCCATCCCTGAAACCCACAAAATGAAAGGAAGGAACTACAAGGTATCCTCTGATCTCCACACAAGTGCTTTGACAAGTATGTACACACGGCTACCACAAACACACACACACACACACACACACACACACACACACACACACACACACACACACACACACACACACACAGCATGACTTTTTACTTATTTTAAATCTTAAAACTAAGATAACAATCTTATTTGTTGAGACGATACATAATTTTTGAGAAAGTGATGGGATTGTAAATCTTCCCATTGTCTTGCGACATTTGACTGTTACTGCCATGAACCCCCTGTGGGTTCCACCCGCCCACATCAATCATTAATCAAGAGACTGTCCTACAGACTTTCCTACAGACAGTCTGACGGGGGCATTTTCTCAATTGAAGACCCTCTTCCCAAACAAATGCCCAAGCAGCACTGATTCATTCATTTGCTCCCAAATTCATTCATTGACCCCAAAACAGAATCCTCACTCAGTGTAGGTGCTCTAGAGATTGTTAATGCAGATTCCCACATTTGTTTTAAAGAGGGCTGAAGAGACAGATCAGTAGTTGACAGCACACACTGCTCTTGCAGAGGATTCATGTTTAGTTCCCAGCATCCATATGGGCAGACAGCAGGGCCTGCAGCTCTAGGTCCAGGGGAACTGATGCCTCTTGTCGCCAAGGGCACCCATACTCACGTGCACACACACACACACATACACACATGTGCCCAAGCACACACATGCACATAAATACTAAAATAAATCTTAATAAGTAAATGAAAATAACTGGGCAGTGGTGGTGCACGCCTTTAATTCCAGCACTCAGGAGGCAAAGGCATGTAGATCTCCGTGAGTTAGAGGCCAGCCTGGTCTACAGAGCAATCTAGGACAGCCAGAGTTGTTACACAGAGAAATCCTGTCTTGAAAAAAACAAAAAAAAAAAGCAAAAATAGAAATTGCACTTTGTGGGGCTGGAGAGATGGCTCAGTGGTTAAGAGCACTGACTGCTCTTCATGAGGACCCAGGTTCAATTCCTAGCACCCACCTGGCAGCTCACAACTGTCTTAACTCCAGTTCCAGGGGATCCTATACCCACAGCAAAACACCAATGCACATAAAACTACAAATAAATAAGTAGATAAATTTCAAAAAAAAAAAAGAAAGAAAGAGGGCTGGAGAGATGGCTCAGTGGTTAAGAGCACTGACTGCTCTTCCAGAGGTCCTGAGTTCAATTCCCAGCAACCACATGGTGGCTCACAACCATCCGCTATGAGGTCTAGTGCCCTCTTCTGGTGTGCAGATACACATGGAAACAGAATGTTGTATACATAATAAATAAATAAAATAAAATCTTTAAAAAATACTTTAAAAAAAAAGAAAGAAAGAAATTGCACTTTTGTTCCATTGTATGGGAGACCCACTATTAAGTTTCAGTTTCTACACTTGGCTCTGAATCCATTTCTCCACGTCTCAGATCAAATCCACATGCTAGTCTGGAAGCATAAGGCACTAAACAAAGGACCTTGTTCACCTGCAAGAATCAAAAGGTTGAGACAGTAGGTCAGAAGTTCACTGTCATACTTAGCTATAAAGTAAGTTTGGGGCCAGCCTAGGCTACAAAGACCCTTTCTTAACAAAGAAAAAGTAATCACAGTTTTTTAAAAATTGCGGGGTAGCCGAGCGTTGGTGGTACACGCCTTTAGTCCCAGCCCTCAGGAGGCAGAGGCAGGCAGATCTCTGTGAGTTCCAGGGACAGCCTTTAAAGCTACAGAGACCCCCCCCCCCCAAAAAAAAAAGAAATTTGCAAGGTGATGGAGGCAGAACTGGGTGGATCTCTGACTTCAGGGCCAGCCACATCTACAGAGTGAGTTTCAGGACAGCCAGGACTACACAGAGAAATCCTGTCTTGATAAACAAACCAAAAAAAATGAAATTTTAGTTTATTTTGTGTGCTTTGAGTGTTCTGCCTGTATGTGCAGCTGTGCACCGAGTGTGTGCTTGAAGTCAAGAAGAGGGCACCCGACCCCCTGGAACTAGACTTACATCTTGTGAGCAGCCAGCCAGGTTCTGGTAACTGAACCCTGATCCTCTGAAACAGCAGCCAGTGCTTTTTTTATTGTTATTGTTGTTGTTTGTTTTCTTTTTTTCTCTTTGGGGGCCCACCATCCAGCTCCCAAATGAATGCATGGAGACTTATTCTTATTTATGAATGCTCAGCCTTAGCTTGGCTTGTTTTTAGCCAGCTTTTCTAACTTAAATTATCCCATTTCTCTTTAACTAAAATTTGGCTCTGGGCTTTTTACCTTTCTTTACTCTTTCTTCCCTTTCTTTCTTTCTTTCTTTCTTTCTTTCTTTCTTTCTTTCTTTCTTTCTTTCTTTCTTTCTTCAAGGTTGGCTGTGTGGCTCGGGGGCTGAACCCTGGTGTCTTCTTCTCCTTCTTTTCTCTTTCCTCGTTTCTTCAATTGCTCTCTTCCCTAGATTTCTCCTCCTAGTTATCCTCTTTGCCCACCAGCCCTGCCTGTTTCTCTCTCCTGCCTAGCTATTGGACAATCAGCTCTTTATTAGATCAATCAGGTATTTTAGGCAGGCAAAGCAACACAGCTTCACAGCGTTAAACAAATGCAACATAAAAGACTAAAATACATCTTTGCATCATTAAACAAATATTCCACAGCATAAATTAATGTAATATATCTTAAACTAATACTCCACAAGTACTCTTAACTGCTAAGCCATTTCTAGTCTGGTAAAGTTTTTTTGATATTCCAGTATTTTCTGATCCCTAGATATTGAGACAAATTACTTTGACCAATCTAACAGTGAGATACCCAGGGAGGAATTGGGGAAAATCTAGCAATGGTCATTTCAAAACAAACTGTGGAAAGATATGTTCCTAATCTATGAGATATTAGTCATTCCTGCATGAGCCAAATCCATCCCTCCCTCCCTCCCATGCTGGTCAATGATGAGGATTTTTTTACTTGCTATCTCTGTCTTAATTATCAATCATAACTATTAATCTATATATTTTATAAAGACTTATCTGATTGAGGATGCCAGCAGCATGCGTCCTCTCTTGTGGGGTTCAGATGGGGGCTTCTAGAGAAGAGAGGAGGAGGATGAGAGCAATTTCCTGCTTATCCCTGCTTATATTCTGAGTCTGCCTGCTATCTCCCTTCCTGCCTGGATCACAAGGCTTCTCTTTATTACATTTCCCAGAACCCCCCTCGACTCCTAGTCCCGCCTAACTTGCTTCCCTATTGGCCAACAATACTTTATCAACCAATAAGACAATCATATACACAGAAGGACTTGCCCCATCACCTACCTTCCTTCCTCTTTCTTTTTTTTCCTTTTCTCCTTCCTTCCTCCCTCCCTCCCTCCTTCCTCTTTCTTTTCTCTTTTTTTCTTCCTTCCTTCCTCTTTCCCTTCCTTCCTTCCTTCCTTCCTTCCTTCCTTCCTTCCTTCTTTCATGGAGCCCACGCTGTCTAAAACTCCATGTGATCCGTAATAGGGTTATAGCCCAATAAACCCATCGTGAATGGAATGTATACATAATATACCTGGCCTTCTGGACACCTCAGCCCAGCAGCACAGAATGGCATGCGGTACCCACCATTCCTGTGGCCAGGAGACTGACTAGGAGCTGAGGTTCACTGCATTATCCAGCATTTTCACTAGCCTATAAAAGATGAAATTTCAAAGGAGGATCTCCAATGATTGTAGGCCACAGCAGCACCACTGTAAACTTAAGCCAAGGCAAGCTGTGACCTTTTGAGATGGGTACCCAGCCCACTCCACCTTCCAAAAAAGCTGAGTAACTTTCTCTGTTGGGTCTGAAGATGTTCAAATCAGTAATGAGTCTCTCAGACCTGAAAACCCAACCTTTCCCCCCACCCTTCTGCTGTGTGACACTGGTTCCTCCTTGTCCTTCCAAAGAAAGATGACCCTGGCCAGCCTAATAAATTGTATGTTCCTAAATCCTAACCATGGTGCTGTTGCCTTTTCCTAGGGTCCTATCCTTCCCCCAAAGCTGGAGCCACTCTAGTCGTGTATAAGGACTTGCTAGTGCTATTTGGTGGCTGGACGAGGCCAAGTCCCTATCCCTTACACCAACCAGAGAGATTCTTTGATGAAATTCACACGTACTCACCATCTAAAAATTGGTAAGCCACAAAGATAATCTATTCTATACTTGGAAGAAATGGGTTTCATTGTATTACATTTTAGTTGTGTGTTTGTATGCACGTGCACACATGCGTATTTGCATGCTATAACATGCATGGGGGGGGGGCTCTCCTTTTACCATGTGAATCCTAGGGATCAAACCCAGGTTGTCAGGCATGGTGGCAAGTGCCTTTGCCCATCAAGCCATCTTGCTTGCTGGCCCAAACACTCAGCTCCAGAGGATCCAGCACCATCTTCTGGACTGTGGGCACACACCCCCACACACATACACACACAAAACACAGCATACACTCACTAAGACACATTAATATAAAAATAAATGGTTTTTGGGTTTTTTTGTTTTGTTTTGTTTTTCGAGCCAGGTTTCTCTGCCCCTTTGGAGCCTGTCCTGGAACCAGCTCTTGTAGACCAGGCTGGTCTTGAACTCACAGAGATCCGCTTGCCTCTGCCTCTCGAGTGCTGGGATTAAAGGCGTGCACCACTACTGCGAGGCTAAATAAATGGTTTTTTGTGGTTTTTTTTGTTTTTTTTTTTTTTTAATTAATGAAACAACAGAATCTCTTGAAGCGTTTGGTGGGAACTGAAGCTGTGCCCAGGCAGAGGCCCACAGCAGGAGCTTGCTTCTGGACTGAGATGCTTTGCAGCACCCTTTCCCAGGAGAAGCAGAAGAGCTCTAGTTGTCTCAGAAGAGAGTGGGGAGGCCAGGTAGAGAAGGAGCTCTCAGTTTCAGCAGCTCCTCTTCAGGAGCACAGGAGCAGTGTGCACCAGGGGACCCCTGTGTTCTGCCATTCTCAGACAAAACATGGTGTTTCTCAGAAAAGTTTGTCTTATTGTGTGTTTCTGTTTTTTTGAGGGAGGACTTCTCTATATGGCCCTGGCTGTCTGGAACTTACTCTGTAGACTAGACTGACCTCAAAGTCACAGAGGCCCTCCTGCCTCTGCCTCCTGAGTGCTGGGATTAAAACTATGTGCCACCATGCCTGACAGACACGTCTGTCTGTCTGTCTTTTTTATTTGCATTGGTGTTTTGCCTCCATATATGTCTGTGTAAGGGGTCAGGTGTCTGTAGGAAGGTGACAGGCAGTCTTTCTTAGTGGATGCCACTGCTCCTTTGTGCCTTACACTTTGAAGATGGGGTAGGTGGTTTTCACTTTTGCTTCTTCCCATTAGGTGGAACTGCATCGTCACCACACATGGGCCTCCTCCTATGGCTGGCCATTCCTCCTGTGTGATAGGTGATAAAATGATTGTCTTTGGTGGCTCTTTAGGATCCCGGCAAATGTAAGTATTTCTGATTTGGTTCATTCTAATGCAAAGGTAGAAATTTCTGTGCATAACAGGCCAGAAAGGTGAAGTAGGCACAGCAATGTCCCAGAACATAGTTCTCTTTAACCTAGTTAGCTACTAAGCCCCAGCATTTAGTTCTTCTGACCCTCCATCACAAATTAATAGGTTGAAAACTTTGCTCCATAAAGTCAAGGTTAAGTGGAATTTCTTTCTGTTTAATCAAATGGGATGAAGTTCTTGTGAAGCTTCCCCCTTGTGTACTGTCTTGTGCCTATCAGAGGTCACCTTCCAAGAAGCAGGATGCTGTGTTGCCCAGCTCAGGCCCTCCAGGGAAGAAAGGAGATGTATTTACAAGTTGGGTAGAAGTCATGCACTCTCCAAATGGGATAGGAGATTGGGAGAGTGAGTTAGAAACAGGTAACTGTCAGGGATGCTGCTCCCCACCATGCCTTCCGAATCATTCCTGCCCTGTGAAGTCTAGAGTGAGAACAGCAGTCCATCTGCATTTTTTTTCTCTCTTTTTTGAGACAGGGTTTTTCTGTGGCTTTGGAGGCTGTCCTGGAACTAGCTCTTGTAGACCAGGCTGGCCTCGAACTCACAGAGATCCGCCTGCCTCTGCCTCCAACGTGCACCATCAACGCCCAGCTCCATCTGCATTATTGCTGTGAGAGGAACCATGAGAGTTTGCTGTGTGTTCTGAATAAAATGGGGAGTTGATGAGTTATCAGAAAAGCAGACCCAGGCTTACTCTCTGACAGGACTCACCATCTCTGTTCTAAAATAGTTATGGAGGGCTGGAGAGATGGCTTGGTCATCTCTTCCAGAGGACCCAGGTTCAATTCTCAGCACCCATGTGTTGGCTCACACCTGTCTGTAACTCACAGTTCCAGGGCTTCTGACACCCTTATAGAGGCATTCATGCAGGCAAAACATCAATGAACATAAAATAAAAGTAATAAATTATAAAAAGAGACCAGCCTAGTCTACAAAAAAAAAAAAAAAAGTTATGGAAGAATTCAGGGTTATCCTAGACTGTGTAGCACATTTGAGGCCAGCCTGGGCTATATGAGAATCTGTCTTAAAAAACAAAACAGAACAAAAATGTGAACTAAATATAAAATATTTATGGAGAGAAACGAAAGGAACTACCCTCCAGATGAGAGGGTTTAGGATTTAAGTTTGGGAGTACTTATTTTGTATCATTGTGTGTAACTAGATGACCTTAAGAAGAGCTAACGGGGGGGGGGGGGGGGGGGGGGGGG